AGAACGCCGGTTGGCTCGATGTCAGAGAACGGGAGAAGTTGACCAATGCGGATGGTTACTTTGACGTATCCATTCCGCTGAGTATGTACTGGGTTTCGCTGAAGATTATCGCAAGATCATCGTTAACGCTAAACACGAGTTGATTCTGACGAGAGTAAAGAGCGATGTCAATGCAATAGTGCAAACTGCTGCGAAAGAATGCAAGGTCGTAATTCATAAATTGGAATGGTTGATACCGTACGTAAAGGTGTCGGATTGACGAAAGATACAACTGCTGAAATTCATCGAGAGGGATGCACCCATCTCCCTGAGCTTCCGTACCTGGGAGCTGTACGAGTACCCTCTACTCCCCACCACTTCGAAACACGTGTGGACCGTCAAGACGTCAACTCAGTTGGAGAAACCACGATACGTGATACTGGGTTTTCAGACGGGCAGAAAGAATAAGAAAAATAAGAACGCTAGTCACTTTGACCACTGCAACGTCAGAGACGTTAAGCTCCTTTTGAATTCGCAATGTTATCCCTATGGAAATCTGAATCTTGACATTGATCATAATCAGTTTGCTCTGCTGTACGGGATGTATGTAAACTTTCAAGCTACGTACTATGGCAAGGATCCCGAGCCTTTGCTTAAGAAGAATGAATTTCTCGAGTACGCTCCATTGATCGTTATCGATTGCTCCAAACAAAACGGGTCCCTCAAACTCGGACCCGTCGATATTCGTCTGGAATTCGAAGCGCAAGACAATTTCCCTGCCGATACATCGGCATTCTGCCTGATCCTGCACGATCGTATAGTGGAATACAACCCGATCAGTGGTGGGGTGAAGAAATTGGTATAAAGACGCTGTAATCGTAGCCCCTGTGCAGTTCATAAAAATTGTTGCAGCAAACTAACGAAGGTACGTTCAGCTCCTCCTTTTATAGGAAACTCTAACCGTCGAAGCTTCCAGAATGTTCTAGAAGGTTCTAGAATGTTCTTGATCTGCGTAATTCCCGGAATCGAGCGCAAAATTCCCGGAATGTGACGCAAAATTCCCGGAATCGAGCGAAAATTCTTGGAATCGAGAGCTCTTGGTGACGTCACTTCCGGAAATCGTAGAGCTCATGACGGCAACTTAGCACGGACACCCACCTTCGAAGGTTCTGGAGTGTCGGTATATGTCGGTTACAGGTCTCCTGGTCCAGAACCCCCAAACTTATACTACTGCGATAAATAAAGTTTCTAGTTCATATGATAATGTCCAAAGATTAATCTTCAATAACTTTATGCAAATCAAAGATAATGAAATCAAAAATACAAATACATCATTAATGTCTTAAGGGGACTGGAGCATTGAAACGTGCTGCTACTATCCTAGCATATTACAAATAAATTAACGCAAATACATATAGACATCATATTTATTTATGGTATTCTTTAGTTACATGATATTTATTTATGTTATTGAAAGTTGAAAACGTAACATATGAACTTAATATAAATTGAAAACATCACTGTTTCTTCAGACTTTTTTTCGATTTTGCATCGATATTTCTACGTCCACTGAATCCACTGAACCGATCTGGAACTGTTTCTTGGAGGATTTGCCCACGATTTTGTACTTTTCGGCGTATGCGTATGTTTTTAAATTTACAAAGTTGTTAGAACTCGATTACTAATATTCACAACGTTTAAAGGTCACCTGTACTTTAGTATGATATGTCTGGCGCAGCATCTTCTTAGGCTCTTTGGTGTTCTTTCATTTCCTGGATATTCACCTTTTTTTTGTTCGATTTTCTAAACTTTTGATTGCCGTCGTGCACGCGGCGGTTGTCTTGGGCCACGCTTTCTTCCACTGCTCATTGACCGTTATCAATGTCTAATCCTCTGAGAAATGTGCCGCTGTACTGATTGTTAGGGGTTTTTTGTCAGATCATGTTATTCAAAATTTCGTTAGCGTTCTGCATAAGTCCGCCGATACACCTCGTAAATAAGGATTCTTCGTCGAAAGCCTCGTACATAAGCTATATTGCCCGCTTAACATCTTCATAGAGAGCTGGCTCATGCCTATATTATCCAAATTTCTTCCAGCCTTTTCTTTTCTGCTACATACATCAACTATAAACTTCGGGTGGGCAAGAATCATATCGCGGTGTTTCATCTGCAGAAATGTTCTGGTACAACGTTACCATAATTGCTTTTGTTCATTCCATCAACTCTTTCACTATTGTTTCTTATCGCCGTACAGTAATAGTTTGTTAATTGTTTGATCAATTTTTCTGTCAGTTTTCCTGCTTTCCCAAGTTTCTTCACTTCTCTCATTGAACGCAGGAAAAAACTGATATTTTTTTTTTTGATTCGAAAGTCTTTTCCGTAAGGTTGGGCATCTGTAATGGACTTTAAGGTTTTCGAATCGCCGTCACCAATGTAATATTTATATTGTATGTTATTTCATAATTCAGCCAAGACCTTCGAGACATTTCGAGGATTGCGTCGACTTCGAGCTTACCGACACTTCCTTCATAATTTTATTGGCATTCGTATTCATGTAATACGAATTTGTGTAGGGATTTAAAGCCACGTTTTCTCCGATTACCGTCTCCAGATACTTTTACACTTTTTGCATCCTCGGACTAACTTACTTCTGCTTTAACTGCAAAATTCATTGAAATTTTAGCCATAGTTTCAGCACTATTACAAGTCGACCGTACGTGGACCGAGGGAAATATACCGGAAGATCCATAAATCCATGAATCATCGCGACTTCTCTTACCAATCAACCAACTTTAACCATCCACATTGCGGCGAAAAATCTGGTGCCGATTTCATAAATATAATAAGTTTTGTCTTTGATTTTTATAGTACCTGACTAGATAATTATGTATTCGCATTTGTCACGTAAAATTCTAATTGAGTATCCGATTCCACGTGGGATGCACTTTTGAAAATTAATATTTTACCACACTTTGTATATTTAACAATTGAAGCGATTGCACTTAAAGCCGTTACGAATTTTAGTATTTTATATCCTATTACATGCTTTATTTCGTAAAAATAATGCAAAACACTGGACAACTTTCCACGTAATGCACAGCTGGGCCCTTCACCGTCACTCCATCTTCTTTATCGGATGTCACATATTGATTACCAATAAATGATCGTTTGGATGATCCCCCCCCCCCCTATATTTTTCGCAACAATTTTCACTCTTCCTTCACTTATTTTACAAATAATCTCACTCTCATTTGAAACTGAAAGAAGCCAAAGAGTTTAACTGTTCCTTTTATATGCATTACTGTTTTTATTACATTTATTTACAGCAATAGCAAACGTACCACCTTTATTGTAGATAGACGGGACAAAGCAACCGTCCCGTACATTATATTGGGCTGAATCAGAAATAAGTTCCGTTTTTTAAATAAAATTGAATTATCGTCAACGGAACTTATTTACAACTCAACCTATAGAAACGATCTAATTTCGAGGGTTTGCAACGGTCCGAGTACCTGCCTGTTCGGAGCCTGAGCTAGGAAAAGAATTAAGAACATGCAACGCTTGTCGTTTTTGTCGCATTTTAAAGAGGAATGACGACGGTTTCGAAAAATGAATTCACACGTTCACTGCCGGTTAGATGAGGATGTACTGATAATTAGTGCCTCACCGTAGAAATGAGTTTTTTCCCAGAAGGCTACATATAATGCCCATTGAAGAAGAGAATAAATGTTGAGGCGCAGCTCTTCCCGCGCGAACGCGTGATTGGCTACTCAGACATTACTCCACACCACGCTCTGTCGCGTGATTGGCTCTTTAGCGTTGACGCCACGCTGGCGCGAGATCAGCAGTAAAAGTATTAAAAAAAAAAAAAAAAAATTATTCGACGCTCTAGTTCCATTATAAAGAACAGAATCTGTTGAAAAGAAGAATATATATTCCTAAAACTGAATGAGGCTGTTACATGATTAATACGGCGAGTACCAACACTATACAAACTTTTTTTTACCATCTATACTTACATTTTTCAATATGGAAATACATGATTTATTGATGCTTAATGAAATGCATTACACCTTACATATTTTTCAATACGTGTATGTAGTAAGTGTAAAAAAGAAAAAAAAAAGAAACAAAAGAACTAACCTGAACTCTCACCATGCCTGGCTCAGGAGGCATTGATGAATTCTCTAATATTATTTCTCTTGGCGGTGCTCTCGTGCCGATATGTTGCTCCTGCCCTATACAAAAAAAAAACTGAATTGGTCAATCCACTCGAATGATACACGAATATTTTATTGAATCGAGCAATATATCATTTGTTCTATTGGTATTATATTAAATCATTATTACATTAAAGAGTATTTACTTTAGTCATGATAATAATGCCTATGCTAGTTACATTAACGAAATAGTATTGAATCGTAAAAATATTTTAATCAGTTAAGGTAACTACTGCGCTGGTTAAAATTAAAGATTAACACTCGTTATGAAAATATGTCGTTCATTATGGTGTAGCACATCTTTGAGCGAAATTTCAATATCTACAGTGAGTAACTTTAATATTTGGACACTATGAGATTTTTACTATATTACGTTATAACTTAATTTCTAACAAAAAAAAAAATGATGAAGGATTATGATGTCGTATACGCTTAATAAACAATAGCGTAAATTTTGTTTACATAACTTACAATAGTTGTTCAATAATACGGTTTAAATGAAACATTGTCCGATTTTCACGTTACGTGTAGCGCTTTTTCCAATGTTCAAGCCGCGTTACGCCAAATTAGAGGACAATGTTTATTTACAAATCTAGTCAAGCGTTCTAGTTTAAGCTTTATTTTATTAGTTATTTGTTGATCATTGTGCAATACACTTGTACAATGCCTCGCAAAGCGAACACGAGTTTTGATATACGGCAATTTGTAATGTATCATAATGCCAAAGGAAAATCGTACAGAGAAATTGCTGCTCTGCTTAACATGAGCAAGAGTACAGTGGGAGATATAGTCAAGCGGTTCAAATGCGAGGATCGTATAGATTTTATACCTGCCAAAGGAAAATCGTACAGAGAAATTGCTGCTCTGCTTAACATGAGCAAGAGTACAGTGGGAGATATAGTCAAGCGGTTCAAATGCGAGGATCGTATTGATTTTATACCCCAAAAAGGCCAACCGAAGAAACTAGACGTTCGCGATGAGAGAAAATTGCTAAGAAAAATAAAGAAGGACCCTACGCTCAGTGCCCCAAAATTAGCATCAGAGCTGTTAAATGAGACTGGAAAAAACGTGCATCCTCAAACGATCCGCAGAGCCCTAAAAAATAGCGGCTACAATGGAAGAGTGGCTAGAAACAAACCGTACGTGAGTGAACACAATCGAAAGAAGAGACTGAATTATGCCAAAGAATTTATTTTTAAGGATGAAACATGGTGGAATGATGTCATCTTTTCTGACGAAAGTAAATTTAATATTTTTGGGTCAGATGGACGAAGGATGGTGTGGCGAGAAAAAAAGGAAGAGTTTAAATTTAACAATCTTCGGCCGAGCGTAAAGCACGGAGGTGGCAGGGTAATGGTCTGGGGCTGTATTTCGACTTTCGGACCGGGCGAATTAGTTTTCATCGAAAAGATTATAGACATAAATTTGTATATGACCATATTGAAAAAAAATTTACACAGAAGTGCTAGAAAAATGGGGATTTTAAATACGTTCAAGTTCTACCAGGATAATGACCCGAAACATAAGGCACGCATTGTGCAGGAATATTTGCTGTTTGCTGTACAATTGCCCAAAAGTTTTGCAACCACCACCTCAATCACCTGACCTTAACCCCATTGAAAATGTGTGGAATGAACTAGAGCGTCGAATTCGAAAAACACCAATATCTTCCAGAGAAATGTTAAAAAATCGTTTAAAAGAAGAATGGAACAGTTTGAGTACTGAATATTTAAAAAAAAAAATATTAATAATATGCAGTAGCGTTTGCAAGAAGTGATAAAGCAGGATGGCTACCCAACAAAATATTAAAACAAGTATTGTAACAAAAACCAGCCAAAAAATAAGTATGTGCATATGTAGTTTCTGAAAGTGTCCGAATATTAAAGTAACGTGGAAATCGGACACTGTTTTATTTAAACCGTATTATTCAACAACTGTTGCAAGTTATGTAAATAAAATTTACGCTATTGTTTATTAAGCGTATACGTCATCATAATCCTTAATCATTTTTTTTTTTTGGTTAGAAATAAAGTTATAACGTAATGTAGTAAAAATCTCATAGTGTCCGAATATTAAAGTTACTCACTGTACTTACAGAGTTATACGGAGTTTAAATAGTCAAAATTGCACTATATCCCTTTTAATGCCGAACAACAGTATATCGTTGTTAGCAACACTTGCGAAAAATGCCAAAGACGATATATCGTTGCGTATACGATGACGCCTTACTATTCGCATCGCGAAAAAACTCTGTCTCAAAATAGATTTATAAAACGTTGTAAATGGTTGAATTCCTTTTTAGAAGGCCTATGTGAGTTGTTCAATCCTTTTGAATTTTGTAAATATCATTCTTACTTTCTTTTTATGATTGTTTTTTTCAAACCGTACTAAATTACAACAAATCGGTTCGGTATTCTTCGCTTAGGTACAATTCTTTCCGTCGGCACTAAAAATGATATAAATATGTCGGATCCCCTTAAGGGTTGTTGGAACTTCTGAAGGACTCCTCTCACTGATCGGCGCCCATGATATTGATACACACGGATGTACGGTTGGCGATGTATTCATTTGAACGTAAGAAAGGTATACAAATGAGTCAGACTGTCATAGGGGAGAATCCAATTTAGATCGCGTTTAGCTGACTAGTGAATCTTCAAAAAATCGTCCAACCTTATCGGTCTGGCAGGCAGCTACCGCCCACCCCCGCTCCAGAGCATCCTCTTGTCGGATTGGCACTCCACAACTAATCAATGAAATCAACTAGCCAATTAAAACAGCTATATTCTTTTTTGATATATCTTAGCTTCTAGGTGGTAAAAGTGAACGGTATTTTTAAGAAACAATTTTTTTACATCGAATATGATTACGATAATTTTTTAACAAAAAAATCTTGGGACTTTTTTAAATTTATTTTTTACTACGATATTCAAACAATATGTGATGTAAAAATTAAAAATTGATGAATCTCTGTCTTTCCACTTGTCTCAAATAGAATACCTTATGCAGGAAATATGTTTGTAATTAACGATACATAGGATATTGATCAAAAAAAGAATAATATTATTACAATGGTACTGATGCCTCCTTAAGTTATAATGTACTACTTATTATGTCTTCTTTTACTGAATTTCATGGGTTCTCAATCCGTTTTTATGAATCTCTTTTCCTTAGTCTTTTCCTTATTTGGAATCTGCGTGGACCTAGCCCCTCTACCATATCTTTCCGTCCTGTTCTTGCTAGTCGGACCTCTTCTCCTATTTCCAGGAAGTTTCTTTACCTATCATGACCGAACCAAATACCAGTCGTGCAACTGGTATCAAAACAACCAAGTACCCGTGCGCTATTAACCGGTACGCGTCAAACACAATAGAAACACCAGTAAGCTGGTACTTTAACCCCTTGCCGTGCTTTAACGAGTCTGATTCGTGATGAAAATTTTGGGCCAAACATGAATATGACGAGCCAGGCTCGTGAATAGATCGTCGGGCCAAACGTAAACACCACGAGCCGAGGTCGTGTACAGATAGTCGGATCAAACATAAACATCACGAGCCTGGATTGTGATTGAATGTTAGTTTCTATCAGTACGCCACCAGAGTTAGTCACGAGTCTCATAATTGCTGTTACAAAGTAGTTTATATTATTATATTGAAATTTAATAATAAACCCTTACAAAATGCAAAATAATAGAGGTTTAAGTGAAAGCAGTGATAAAGAATATAGCGATAGTGATGTTCTTCCGCTAACCAGAAAGCGTCCAAGGCGTATGATTATAGAAGATAGTAGTGAAGAGGAAGGTACGACGCGTCAATCATGGATTTGGCAGGAGAAAAAAAACACACCAATAGTTTGGACGTATTCTGAGACTCATGGTATAAAAGCGTCTGTTCTTACTAATTTAAGCAAGGATCCAACAGTATTAGAACTATTTTCTATTATATTGGATAACAAACTGTGGGATATATTACGGAAACAAATCGCTTCGCATACCAAGAATTGAACGACGAGTGTAAAAGACGGAAAGTGGACGACAATTGGTATCCTGTTACGTTAGATGAAATAAAGGCCTACTATGCATTATGTATTTTGATGAGTCAAGTAAAAAAATCAAATATACAACAGTATTGGACTACAAGAGTAGTAATAGAAACGCCAATATTTCGAAAAACAATGCCATTTATGAGATTTCGGCAAGTTTCGAGATTTTTACACTTCTCTAATAATGAAACTTCTGACAGAAATGACCGACTTCGAAAGGTAAGACCTATCATCAACCTCTGGAATGAAAAATTTAAAGAAATTTACACACCCAGTGAATATATCAGCATTGACGAATCCTTGATGAAATAGAAAGGGCGTTTAGCATACAAACAATACAATCCGTCGAAAAGAACTCGATTTGGATTAAAAATTTATAAATTGTGCGAGGCAAGTACCGGTTTCTGTCATAAATTCAAAATAAAAGTTATAACGTAATATAGTAAAAATCTCATAGTGTCCGAATATTAAAGTTACTCACTGTATATACCGGCCACGACAAAATTAATGTAAATGATAGTGCGTCGCAGAACGTTGTGATGGATTTGTCAAAATCAATAATAAACAAGGGATATACTTTGTTTCTGGATAACTGGTACTCTTCACCCGACCTTTTTCTAAAATTAAACCAGAAAAGGACAAATGTTATCGGGACAGTACGCAAAAATAGAAAAAATATGCCAGGAGATATTCAAAAGCCTGTTTCGAAAAAAGGAGAAGTGTAAATGTGTATGGAGAAGTTGCAATAATTTGATAGCTCTGAGATGGAAAGACAAGCGCGACGTGTATATGATATCAACGAAACACGAAAGTGTAGAGATGGTTGAGCAATCAGACAAAAAATTACAGAAAGTAATGAAGCCTAATTGTATCGTGGAATATAACAAACGTATGGGTGCAGTTGATCTTCAAGATCAGATGTTATCCTGTTTCCCAATCATGAGAAAACCCATCAAAGGATACCGAAAGCTTTTCTTTTACATGTCAGATATGGCCCTATTCAATACTTATATTATGCATAAAATTATGCACGGTCCAAAAAAGGAGAGTTATGTTCAATACCAAGTAAAAATAGCAGAAACAATTTTACCAATTGAACCTCTTCGACTTCAAGCACAATATTGGGCTCATTTCCCAAAAACTATCGATTCGACGGCTCGAAAATAGCACCCAACAAGGATGTGCAAAGTTTGTTATAAGCATAAAATACGAAGCGAAACGAAGTGGGAGTGTGCGGAATGTGAAGTAGCTTTACATCTGCCAGAGTGTTTTAGGAAGTATCATACCAAGGAGGATTTTTAGACTTGTTAGTATTTTCTTATTAGATATTGATTCAAGGTGAATATTTATTACAATTGAAGTTTTATTTTTAACCGTGGTATTATTACATTCCTTGAAACAAACCCACAGTTGAAGATGCAAGAATTTCTGTTGAACTGTTAAACTGTTCTATTGAATTCGTGAAATATAATTTTGTAACTGTTATCGATTACAAAATATAATATAGTATAATAATTATAATGTAATGAATCGATTAAAAATAAATAAAAAATACAAAAGGTATTAGAGTTTATTTCCACAACAGCAGTATCGTGCAAAAGTGTCTATATCAGAGGCATTTACATTTCGGCTCGTATTGTGACCTTTCTCGCGCATCAGTCTGATCTGTTTACCACGCGTTGACGCGTAACACTTGGGCTTGAATTTCGTCGAGCTAAATGGCACGGCAAGGGGTTAATAAACTGCTAATCCTATTAGACAAATTAAAATGTGAAATGAAATATTGAATCAAAATTCTGCGTTAACATCTGGGGATAACAAAAATCATTATCCCTGTTAAAAATAACGTATTCCTTCCGAGGATATAAGCAGCGACTTCCTCGACAGGAATTTATTCGCTGTTAGATTCAGTCAGAACGACAAGTGTACACCAAAAGCCTTAAGAATCTTAATAATCATAATCTCTGAAAATGAACACTTCGTCTGTAAACGTGGGTCGTTCGTGTCTGAGCAAAAACAATTTCGGTTTGTACCTGGGAAAAAGGGGCAGGGCGGACGGTCTCGCCTATCCCTAAAAAAGTTGTAGAGGAGGGGGAACTGATGCCCAAGCTTCACTACCTTCTAGGCAGTGGTGACGAGTGCGCAGATTTCGGAGTGGACACGAACGACACACGTTTACAGACGGTGTGTAGTAAACAGATAAGTGAGTGAAATTTTTTTTATCGTGTTTTTGGCATCAGTGATACATTTATTTTGCTTTAGTATGCCTAAAAAATTGTTAAAAATTTTTTTTTTACATTTTTAAAATAGAGCAGCGATCGGCTGAAGAAGTCACGCGCGTACTGCGTCAACGCGAAGTAATTACATATTTTGGAGGTGATGACAGCGAAGATGAAACGGACGCAATTGAAGAAGCTGATAGTGATGCCACGGAGAGCGATGCTATTATTGTAAACTCGAAAACGATCGAAAAACGCAATACTGCTGCGCTAAATGCAAGAGACCAGTATGCGAAGACCATCGCGTCATGTGTTGTGCAAACTGCATCGACTAAATGTAATTAACTTTTTTTTTGTATAATAGATGTAAGATACCTTTTTTATTAAAAAAAAAAATACGTTTTTTCCTAATAAAATGTGTGAATAGCAATGCATCGTACATAATTTATTGCCTATTTTTATGTCCAAAACTTAAGCATTTAGCTTTAAACAAACGAAACGATATAACTTTTTTCTTAAAGCTACACTTTTCACCTTTAATTTGCATTATGAAAAATTACGCTATCTTCATTTTTCACTGAGTTACAATTTTTTTCGTAAATTAAAGATTTTTCCCCAATTTCTCCATTTGTTTAACAAAAAATTTATGAAACAATTAAATTTTCGAGAATTTTAAAATTGGTACTTCAAAATAAATATTTCGAAAAGTATCATAAATTTTTTTAGAATGTTTTGAGTGCATTAAGGGGGTTAAATAATTGCCGGACGCGAAAGACCCACGTTTACAGACGGGAGGTGCGGGAAAAACGTTTACAGACGAAGTGTTAATTAGGGAAAACTATCCTGTACTCCCGAGCAAATTAATGAACGGTATTCTACCGCAAACTGTGGGAACCTATCCTTGGCAACTTCTGCTCTCAGGAAGCATTATTTCTCATCTCTGTATCAGGAAACCTGGCATTCTTTTATATCTTCTGCAGCAAAGCTATTGTGTCGGCTCTATCAGAAATCGACCAAGCGCCAAAAACCAATCCTTGAAAAGTGACCTCCCACCGTTATTGTGATTAGTAGCGGTTTACGGTCATCGCCTGCGGTATAATAATAATCACTGTCCACAATTATAACAATGTGTGAGAGAGTGAAATAGTAATTAACTGACTTTCCAGCATTTAAATTATAGGACAATATACAATAGCACGATTATTTTATCTTTAAAATCAAGTGTTATTTCCTATAAAGACGCTTGCCCAGTGCAAAAACCCTTCCAAACATCTTGCAATTTCAACTCCACCAAAATTGCGAAGCGTCTGATTATATTTACACATTAAAAAGACGTAACACATTACATTTACCATTACTCAAACGTTTTATCACTGAAATAATAGAAATAATAACGATTTCTTAGATGTAATTTTAAAGATTGTTTTAGACAATAAAAATAGATCATAATAACAAGAATTGATGTTCAATTACCTCGCAAACCTCCCTTTTTCTTTACTGTTCTATTAAACAAGAATAATAATATGTTACACCTACACATAAGACATTAACTACTTTCAGCACAAACTATAAATTGTTAGGTTTACATGAAACTGTATATATTGTTTGAACGCACCAGTTCCAAATGTTGACATTTCTATAAGGTATGTAAAACTACTCTTACCCCCAAAAAAATACTTACGTGTAAAAAACTACGCTAAGTACAGGAATGCTATGAATTCCTGTAATAAAAAGTATTGAAATCATATTACAGTAGGACCTCGATTTTATGGATAAGTCAGGACCGGAAGTCCACAGAATCGAGGTTCCCTAAGCTCCGCCCCTACAATGCGTATAGCCACTCGCGCGCTTGTGGACAGTAACGTATCATATGGTCGTGGCATCCCTTCAATTATAAACTATAAACGGGCCCGGATGGCTGCCGACACTAGAGTGTAGTTACGGTACTGGCTGGGGGAGCGCACATGCGCCCCACTCTTTAAAGTGGTAGGAAGAAAGTGGGGTTTGTCCATAAAATCGAATTCCATAAAATCGAGGTCCGAGTGTATTTAGGCCAAGTACATAAGTCACTACATGTTTGCTTATTATATAATCTAGCACTGGCCCATTATTTTAATTGTATTTTCAAAATTTCGTATAATGTTTTCGCTACTGTTTTACATTACTACTACTTCCCCTAGTTGATTACGATTTAATGGTAATTTAATAATTAATAAAACTTTAGATGATTCCTTATCAAGTACTACTTGGCGGGTCCGTGCATTTCTTGATATAAATTTTCGTTTATTATACCAATCATCAAACTCAAAACCAATGTCAACTTTATATATAGAGCATATTAACAATAACTTGTCAAAAATGATCACGATAAAAGCTATTCGTTAGTTTAATAACAAACATACAGTATTATTATAGAGTACTATTAGTACGTTCAAAGTCAGTACTTGGAAATTCCTGACACAGTCCCGCCAAGTAGTACTCGATAAGAAATCACCTAAAGTTTTATTAATCATTAAATGACCATTAAATCATAATCAACTGCGGGAAGCAGAAGTAATGTAGAAGAGCAGCAAAAACGTTATAGGAAATGTTGAAAATACAATTAAAATGATGGGCCAGTGCTAGATCATATAATAGGCAAACATGTAGTGATTTAAATACTTATGTTTTCCTCATTGCTCCACTACTATGATAAAATATATTTATTATAACAGAAAAATATTTTTTTCTTGCTATTCCAAATAACGAAGCAGATTTTCACATGATTTTCTAAATTAATTAGTTCCTCCATTTTGCTCCGCAATTTGTTTTTTATGTTATTAAAGCATCTTTAAATAACAAGTAAAATTTGATTTCCTCTTGACCCAATTGTAAAAGTAAACAACATGTATATTTGTAACATGTTTAAAAACAGTTTCTCTGTTTATTGAATGCTAGATACTTATTCGGGTGCAAGAAGATGCAAGCATTCGTACAGAAGCCCCGTAGTGACAATTGATTTTTTTACTGTGCACTTCTGAACTTTTTCATGCTACAAAACTCAGCTCCATATAGTTAGCCCACGATCTTGTATACAGAACACTTAGGCGAAAAACGTGTGACGATAAGGTAGCCAGTGCCGCAAGAGGTGTTAATGTTGAAAGAGCCTATCACGTGCTACCACTACGCGTGCGCAGTTATCTCTTTTTTGAATACGTTTCCTGCAGTTTTGCTCGTTGTAATGTGTAATATACCGTCATTGCAATTGAAAAAAGCAACAATGACCAGAAAGTGCATCGTGCCTGCTTAAATCACAATGATAGGAATTTGCATTTGAAAATCTCACTGGAATTACAAATGAATTCAATAAAAAAGTTACGACACAAGCAAAAATTGATTGTTTTAATTTTCATGAATTTTAGGTGAATTGGTCCATTTCACTTTAGTTTTTTTAATTATCAATTCTTTATTTGTCTAACTTATCAAAATTTTATTTAATTGGCATCGCATCGGTTTTTTGTAGTCAATAACTTTCCTTTTGAATCGGAGATAAGAGGTTGCACTGAATTTACGGATGCGCATGCGCCTGTGTCAGCAGGCTTCTTCGACACTAGCGATTCCAGGCAAAACCGGCCGCATTAGGGTTACGAGCTACAACGTGGTGAGGATAGGGAAGTTTGACGGTTATTTGTTTATATAAATAATATATTTATAAAAACAACTTTGGCTAGGGAATTTTTTTAATTAGTCCCTCGATGGTCAAACTGATTCCCCATGGAGCGTACTTTGTGTATGTACCGCGTAACTTATGCAGCTAATCGCAAACCCACAATTCCGTTCTATTATCTATCGGAAAACCAACAACGATCCGTGATTTGCTGACGTAAGGAAAGGAAGGAGGGAGGGAGTTAGCTTCAGCACCACTTGGTTACTCAAGATTCCTCCATTGCAGTTTCGTTTCGTGTGAAGCATCTACGCAGTTTCAAGATGTTCAAATCATCCACGAGCAGAACCGAGGAAGGTACAGTCAATTATTATTAACATTTATACTTAAAATACTATAAGCAATTATACTTAAGTTGTTCATAACTCTGAGAATGGAGGTGTAGCCTTAATTGAATATCCCAGCAGCAATATAGGCTCAGATTTCAATAACTTTTAGTCCAAAATGCAGGTGCTTTGGAGATAATCGCCAAACTATCGCGTTAAAATTTTCATTAGCATTCTGGGTATGGCCACCCAAGCATCTTTCAAGTAAATCATCCATGGACAAATCTTTATAAATTGGTAGGAGATGCTTGGTAGGAGAGTAATGGAGTAAGATCTTCAAACAATTATACAAAGATATTGTAAAAGAAAGGTTGCTCCACCCCAAGCGTTCCAGATACCTGACTCACTAGTTTACGGGATGCGGACCCCGGCGCTCTCGACTATGCAATAATTCCATAAATATTTACTATTTCGATTTTTCCTTTTTTCAGTACATTCTTCATATATTATACTTTCGAAGTATGAGAAAACAAAATCTATTTCTTGAATATCGTAAATGATATGCTCCCCTTAAGTACTTGGCCTCAATAATACGATTTCAATACTTTTTATTAGACGAATTCACAACACTACTGAACTTGGCATAGTTTTTTACACGTAAGTGTTTTTGGGGGGATATCACGTGTTTTTATTGCTCAACGTAATATAGAAGCTCTAAGAACTGAAATCTATATTTTTACAGATATAAATTGTAAATGCATTGTGATGTCGCTAATCAGAAAAATATATTGCATTGTCGAAAATGTTAAATGGCATATAAATTTAATTTATGTTCATTTTTTTTATAAATGCATAAAGATATATACAATATTTTAAACAAAATGTAATCTTGAATGCATATAAGCGTCGTTAATGGTGTCCAGCTGAGTGTGCTGGATTATTTACGTACCTCAGACCGTGCGAACAATAGAGAGGTTACTATGGTTTGAGCGAACGTCAAAGCGTCGCTCGTTGCACACTTTTCTAGACACCCTGAACTTCCACGTCCTATACCTAGATACAAGAAACTACGGAAAGGAACACCTGGATACCTTAGACTTCTGCGTCCTATACCTAGATACAAGAAACTACGGAGAGGAACAGCTGAACACCCTGGACTTCCAAACCGGCACCTAGATACAGGAAACTACGGAGAGGAACACCTGGATACCCTGGACTTCCACGTCCGGCCCTAGATACTACCTAGGAAACTACGGAGAGGAATACCTGGACATCCTATATCTCTAAAAACTGTCATTTAAAATACGAGAAGCTATGTCGAAGCACACACATATGTACACCCATACACACGCGTTCCACATGAATGCTATTAAAGCTTAATAATTCTATATTATTGTGAAAGCAGCCTTATAGTAAC